TATTTTTGTGCTTTTTGTTATAGCGCTAAATACCACTATTCATACGAATTCTGATTATATGCCGTTTACTTTATTGCTCCAACCCGAAGCCGCGTTTTTTATATCATCCATCCTCTTATTGTACGTTTGCTGGGCTCTTAAGTGAGCGTATTCTTCTTTCTGATTGACTCTCAACAATTGTCGCTTACTGGAATTCATTTCATAAGAAATTGGGTTTGTGAGCTGATGAACCTTGTGTGAACACAGGTCTTATCCTCAACCCCGGTGGGACTCGACCCATGGCAGATGAGCGTATAATTTTGACTCATTAACCACTACGCCATATTGCTTCGCGGGCCTTTGGGTCACAGGTCGGATGTGATTGCGCAGGTTTCATAATGTGATTTAAATTTATACATCATCAGAAGGAGGATTTTGCATCATTCTGTGCGCCATATTATTACCAAATGAGAGCAAAGTAACACAAATATGCAGTCGTTTTCTATTGTACTCCATCTGAATATATCACTCCATCGCAAACATTCACATAAAACGAAATTCGATAAAACAATAAAAAGGCAGAAAAGTACGTTAGCATTAGGTTTTCTGAAAGTATATAGAATTACTTTTTCTATTTGCTCTACACAGCATACTTTTTTCTATTCGGTTGAGGATTGATGCAGCATTGCTTACGCCAAACTTATTTAACGCCATTATACGCACTAACTCGTAGATTATTTTTACTCCTCAAATTTCGTTTTTTGCCTATTCTACTTTAACTTTTACAGAGGAATGACTTTAAACTCTAGAATTTAGTTCGAACACCGAATTTACCCTCTTGAAAAGAGGAAAAGTGTCTGTAGTTAAGCAAGTCACTGACCAGATATGAAGACAAAGAAGCTGTGAACTCCATTTTGGTCGCAGTCTTCTTTCGATGTATATAAGTAGTTTGAACATGTTTTCAAAACTTGGTAATATTGGCAGGAAGGCCAGGAGGAATGCATCTTGTCCGAAGTCCATAATTTGGACGATCACTTCCAGAGTCGGAACATGGACTTTGTACATTCCCAGACGTTTCGCCAGCATCGCAAATGAGTCTCGCCACTCTCACCAACCAAGCTACAACTCGTCAAAGAGACAAGTGAAGTCACGCATTTGACCAAATTACTGTCAAAACGGTTGTGCTATCATTCCTCATTTAATCCTGATCCCTCGTCCTATCACAACTTCAGACATGTTTCTATTCCTCAAGAAATGTACCATTTTAGCGAATTTACCGTGGCGTCATCCCACTTGCTGTCTGTCTGCCTTCCTACCCTCCCTTTCGAGTGACTGATCCTGATCTAGTCTCCTGTCCGGATCTGCCTCGTGGGCCCGTGGATCCGTTTTTATATTTCTGTCTGACCGATTTCACTCGGTTACAAACCACAGTCTACTGTTACTCCAGGAGATATTTCTCAAGCCTTCCGTAGCACGCATAATGTCGCCTCACATGGATACCACTTAGCCTCTCATTCCCATGGTTGCGGATATTAGACATTTCCTTCAAGCATCATCTACTTGATTAAACTCGTGTAGAATGAGAAAACTGTTAACTTCTATCTCTGGTCGTCTGCTACCTCTCGAGTCGATTTCTAGTCAATTTGTCTGTAAGGCCGAATTTGTGTGAAGATTGTGATTATCCGTCTCCCTAGTCACGTGACCGTCAGGTACGGAAAATTAAAGTTTTTTCTTCGAACAGACTACTTTATTTCCGCAACTTCCTCACTCTCTTCTTCCTTGCGATCACTTTTTGTCTGGTTTACGATAGATCTTTGATCCAGGCGTATCTTTTTTGCTTGTCTTGTTGAATCACTGTTTCTTCCGAGTTTGATTAGGCAATTGGCAAAGTTATCACTGACTCTGCCTTCTTCGAATCTGCTGTCCATTAATTTTCCCCCCAAATACCTCAACGTCCTCTCTAATCTTCCGTTTCTTTGTACTTTCACTGTATGAGACCCTTCTTTCTGCTGTCTTCCAATTGATCTTGTGTCTAGTCTTCCTTCATGTCTGATCTAACAGTATCCATTTTCCTGCATAGCCGTGGATGTTCCTTTATTCGTATGCTCATTTTTATCCAATCGTCGCCAACATATTTTGTTCACAGGCTGTTGATGATCGTGCACCCTGCTCTACTAGTCAATGTATTGTCCATCCATTCATTTCCCCGTTCCTGTGCATATCCTTCAACATGGCCCATAGAGTTCCATTGATCTTCATAGTTGGGTTCCTCTTTAGTAGACAACGGGTAGTCCTTTCTTGCAATTTACATTCCATTTTCTCTGTTTATTGTTTTCTGTCAATTACAACTGTCGCTCCTCCTTTATCCGCCTGAAGGATCAATTGTCCATTCTTTTCTAGGATTCTTCATATATTCGCAAACCTGTTCTTGTACATTGGTTCCTAATGTGTCAAGTTTCTAGGGATTATTGCCATCTCCATATCCCGTTTTTTCTCCTCAGGGAACTTGTCCGAGATATTGATGGCCTCCATCAGATTGTCTTCTAGAATATCTCTGCCATTTTGAAGAGAAAAGTTTAGCCCTTTCCTTAGGATCTTAGTGGTTTCAGAATCAACGGGAAGCGAGGATACATTCACTCTCTTGTTCCCTTCGTCGTACTGATCAGCAGATGTCGTCGTCTTGCAAGCCCCTTCAACTGGGCGCACTGGAGGGTGTAGCAAGGCGCACAGCATGTGTGTTGACGCCACGGTAATTTCGCCGAAAGGCTACATTCCTTGCGGAATAGAAATATGTCAGAAGTTGTGACAGGACGAGGGCGAGACTAGCGGGTAGTGAATGAATAGAGGGATCTGGACAAAACGAGGAGTGATAGCATAACCGTCTCGACAGAAACTTGGTCAACGGATTGACTTGACTTGTCTCTTTGACGAATCGTAGCTTGGTTGCTGAGAATGACAAGATTCACTGATGATACCGAGTACGTCTGGGAATGCACCAAGTCCACGGTCCGACTCTGGAAATGATCATGCATACTATGGACTCTGGACGACGTTCCTCTCGGTCTTTCTGCTAATATGACCAAGTTACGAAACCAAGGGCAAATAACTTTCATAAGACGAAAGGGGACCGCGACCATACAAAAGGCCACATCATCCTGATCTTCATGCCTTGTTCGATTAAGTTGCAGGTTATATGATATTTTCGAAATAAGGTAGGCATACATTAAATAGCAAGTTTCTTAAGGTACAGGGAAGGATTTTTTTTTCTAAGGACAACTAACGCTTTGCTAATCGGACTTAACATGTATCTTTTGTTTGTGTTAATATCACTACTTATAGTATCGGGAAATTGTCACAGTAAGTTATTGCTTAAAAGAAACGGAAGCATATTTAGTGGTATTTTCTAAAAAAGGAAACAAAAATTTTAGCGGTATGAATCTTAAATCGACTTCTCTCAACATGTGTTAAAGCAACATTATCTGCGTGAGCTTAATTAATCACTTG